CTTTATTATAAAGGTTTTATTTTTAAACAAAAAGACATTAAAGGTTAGCCAAGAAAGCGCTACTTGATCATGACTCTAAATGGATTTAAACATACCACCGTATTTGAGGGTGCAAAGCTTTGTTATTATAAAGGCTTTATTGCCATATTAAGCCTTTTAAATAATTAATTTACAAAAATATTTTTATATATTTTAAAATTGTAATTTTTTATGTCAAGATTTGGTATCTAACCATTAAGCTTAATCTAATTGGCCATACAGTTGCGGTGAATTTAATAAGATTAGGAAATCATATAGATACTATTGCGTAATGAATAAAACTCAATGATAAATATAAAATAATCATTAATATATTTGGATTACGTACAATAGTTTCATTTTACTTATTTTTATTCTCATTCTGCCTTAATATATGTACCTTAATTGGAGTGTTTGTCATCGTCTCCGATCCAATCAAATATTGAACATGCACTACGATGAATCATGTCATGCCATGTGATTATCAAGTGTTTAAAAAAAAAATTAAAAATCGTCACCTGTCTAATCTAATTATTTGAAAAAGTAAAACCAATTTTAGGAAGAAACATTTAACATATTAGAATAATCTGAAGCTCAATTATAACATGAATGTATGACATCGAATGTCAATTGCTTCAGAGAAGGTTTAAGTTGAAGAATTTTGCGACACATATGATTTAGCTAATTATTGAGAAATTGCCATCTTAAAATGCAACTTAAACATAAAATAATAACTTAATCGAATGATTGAGTTGGCGCGGGTTTGAAAATCGAGATCGATGAGATATATAAGATCATTTTAAATGAGTGAAAAGCCGAAAGACAAGGAAATCAAATTAGAAGTACTATTAAATTTTAAACATTGCCCCTCGTCAGTACCCTATTTTCCTTATCCCTCGTGGAGTTCACCGTACGCATTTATTCCCTTATTTTAATTCAATTTGTAACCCAATCATATGAATTATGAAGAGTCACTTTCTTTCTCTCTTTTTTATTTTTTTATTTTTTTTATTTATTTAGTCATGTATGCTGTGAATATATATGACACTGGAAGCTTACGTTTTTTGGTTGAAAAGTCACCATCGCTTAGAGCCTTCATCAAAACTTCTCACTAATAAATTGGTATCCTATGTATTCTTATTTATAGCTAGTCTTGTCACTCTTAATTTTAAAGTATAAAATTTGATCTCATTTTACTGTTAAAGTATAAATGTATCATGGCTTCAGTTTTCCTTTGAAACAGATTTTGATGTGATCACTTTTATAAAGCTACGGGTTGATTAAACTTTTGTTACTCTTAATTTTAAAGTATAAAATTTGATCTCATTTTACTGTTAAAGTATAAATGCATCACTTCAGTTTTTCCTTTGAAACAGATTTTGATGTGATTATTTTTTATTTTTTGGTTGTAAAAAATAAAAATAAAAATGCCACATGACATGAAGAAGAATAAATAAATAAATATATTGTGTAAATAGAGAATTGTTGAAAATATCTAAGTGTGAGTGATATAAGTCCCATATTAATTAGACATAGATAAAGTGAAAATCACATAATTGCAAAAGAACACATTGACCTACCGTTTCAAAATTTTGAATTAAAATGTGATATTATCAATCCACTTATGCTAATTTGTCATTTGACCGTTAATAGAGCCAATGCCATAGAGATAGAGGTATCTCTTACGAAAAGGTTTTATACTTAACCTTCCATTCCTAACGAAGATAAGCTTGATTCAATGTATTTGATTGAGATATATCTCCCTTTTAATATTAGACATACAAATTACATTAAACGTCATGTACTTTAAAAAAGTCAAATTTGTTCAAAATTATACTTATTAAGCCCCAGCGGGTCATGGGTTAATGCTTAATTTGTTCACAACTTGGGTCAATAGACAATTCTCGGATATTTTTCATTTTTGCACAAATACTGAGGCAATCAAACTGTTGTAATATTCCATCAACGTATCCAAATTTAATAAGTTTAAATTCACGTTTATAATGACACAATTAATATATTGCATGGTTAGCAAAAGTCTAAATATGAGTCACTCAAAAAAGGGGGGCCTAGTAATAAAGAAAAAAGTTACCCATGTGCTCCCAACCTTATCCATAGTTCGACCAATTTGTCCTCTCGTTCAAACCTACATTTATTGGGTTCCTCAATTCTCAAAAGTCTTTAAATACACACTTTATTGTACCCAATCAAATTAACAATTAAATGTACAATGGTATTCCTAAAAATAAGAACATTTTTAATGTAAATACAGTGCTTTATATAATCTTACACACGTCAAGTCGTCAATTAATTATTAATTTATTTGCTTATAATAAATTGTGTCTACCTAAAAATTTTTAAAATTTCTTCACACTGCAACCAGTTACGCTAAGAATATAAATTTTTTAAAATGTGTATAAGATAAGTGGTTACGTGGCTAAGTTGGTATCGATCACTGTTTTGAATGTTCTTAGTGAGGGCCCTACGCAGGAAACTTGAGAGCATACACATTAAAAAAGATGTTACCTGCTCATCCAACCTCGACCGAGTAATATCTAGGAAGTTTCTTGCGAGAGTAAGAGTTCTATCTAATTTTGTTTTTTTCTCAGAATCACGAAGCAACATTAGAATTTGTAGAGTGGACCAAGGGAAATAGTACAAAGCATTTCATAGTCACCTTTAAAAGAATATAAAGCTAGATGCATTGTTAGCTACATTTAATTAAAAGAGGGGGGGAAAAGAAGGAACTGATTCCTTCCCCCTGCGCGTTGTTGCTTCCCCCGAAAACAGATGAAATCCATCACAGCCAGGAGTTTAATCTGCTTGTCACATTTAGCTATATGGGTTCAATTTTTTTACGGTCAATGTAAATAATTTATCTACAGTGAGTTCAAAATGATGTTATTTTGAGACAGAAATCAAGGTATTTTTGTAATTATAATTTACTTCAGGGTTATAATAATTTTTTTCATTATAATTTTTTAATTTTTCAACCCAAAACGACGTCGTTTTGGGAGCGAAGGTAGATAACTTATCTACATTCACTTTAGAAACATTAAAGCCTAAAACTATATAATATTATATGGAAAAATAAAAATAATTATTGGTTTGATTTGGGACTCTAATACTTATGTGTAACGTTTGAAAAATAATAATGGAACTAGGATATGCAAATGGACGAAACTTTTGTATTTACATAATAATTTGGTCACGGCTGAAGCTCTAGCTTTGCCCTAAGCAGTTTTCTCTTCAATTAGAAGACATCATTCTTGAATTGTGACAACTCATTGAGGACATCCAAATTATGTGAAGATTCTTTACCTGAACCGGAGATATATTTTGTCTGTTCTGCATGGGGCTGAGCAGCTCAGTGGCGTTTTTCTTATTCCACTCCCAAAAAAGGGAGTAGTACTACTAGTCACTAGTCACTAGTCAGGGATAGTATTACTTACATGTACTACTCACCAATTGTATTGCTACTTGTTACCAGTTGTTGTCACTTGTCACGTACGTTGCAACTCCAAAGCCATGAGTAGATTCGACAGCATCCTAATTATTAACCTCTATCTTTGCCTGCTCCTCAATTAGAAGGCATCATCTTGGAATGTGACAACAAATGAATAATCATGCCTTGCCAACACCGAATGTCGGGCTCACGATAAATTCGATTTCATTGAGTCAAGCTTTCACCTTTTTTATAGACCAGTCATTAGCATACGACGGCATCATAGTTTTTTTTTTTTTTTTTTTTTTTTCCTGATCAATCTTGGAAAATACTGTACAAAGTGAACGAGTCTACGGCAACCATGGTAATTGCGTAAAGAATATGCACACTTATAGAGCTCGTACTCAAGAAAGCGACAAGAAGACCAAGTACGAGCAACCCAACCCACCATCTCTTAGTTTACTGCAGCAATACTATCATTGGGCTAAAGCTTCTCAATTATCAAATAACCGTGTGTTTGTTTGGAATTTAAATCTACATGGTAAAATCTCACATTGCTTAGCAATAAACTAAGCGAGCAAACCATAAATGAAGAATGGTCAGAATGCTAATTATCTCTCCAATCCAAATAAATTCAATTCCAATTTTGATGATTTTAAAATCCAAACACACGTATGCTACAAGAAATGTTAATTCCTTTTAGCCTAATTGTTTATTATATTTGAGATGTGATGTTATAAAAAACTGAAACAAACAAAAGCTCTAAGCTTAGTAAGCGGCATTTGACGCAAAGGAAAATAACCCAATTTTTTTTTAAAAAAAAATTGGGCTTGGGTTTCATTTCTTGGATCCATCCAATTCAAGTCAGCCACGCTATGTGAATGGAAACACCCACTACAACACCTTTTTTTTTTTTTTTTTTTTTTTTTTTTTTTTGAGTTACCCAACCCTAATTACCTCTTTGAGGCGAGTTGGCTCCCTCCGGTATCTCCACAAGCTTCGACTCTTTGAGCTAGCTATGGGACTAATCCGGAGTGCGGGGATAAGTGATGGCTAAAGATTCAGCCCCTTCCCCAAGAATGGATTCAGCGGGAATCGAACACATGTCCAACCCCACTAACTCAGCGCCAAGGAACCAACTGAGCTGCACCCATTGGGTACTACAACACCTTTTTAATAATACATGTGTTTGATTTTTTTTAGTATTATTTTGGAAAAAATTTAAAATTTTAATCCTAAATTCACCAGAACAGAATTACTTCCGTGTAGCATACCTATTAAGCATAATTTTTTTTCAAATCATCACTTTCCTTTTCATATAATATAGTGGTGGTAACGATGACGATGGTGGTAGCGACAACATTGGTGGTGGTGGTAGCTCTGACATGGTAATAGTAGTGGTGGAGGTGATAGTGATGGTAGCAGTGACATGGTGGTGGTGGTACGGCAACAGCAGCAACGATGGTGGTGGTAGTGACAATAGTAGTGGTGGATAGTGATTGAAAGAGACAAGTATTTCTCATTTTATACCCAGGAACAAAAAAACAATTATTCTTTTTCCTGTTCCCTAGCACAGAAATTAAATCGGTTCGTTCTCGAGAACAAAAAAAATAGACCGATTTTGTCAATCACTATTTCTATCCATTTCTATTCCCGAAAACAAAAATTAAAAAAAAAAAAAAATGATTCTGGATCCGCACCCTTAATGTTAAGATCACCTGGAAGAGGAAGATTATTTACAATATAAGTAAACTGAGAAAGCATGTATGAATTAACATGATATGAAAAAGCACATACACTTTCCTTAAACGGTAATCTAATCTTCGAAGGAGAGACTCAAAACTCAAAAGGCTCATTCCTTGTTATAGATCTTGATCTCACTCAAAAGCATCACCATACAAAGAACCCGGAGCAAAAACTAATCCAGTTCTTGTCGCTTTCAATGCCAGAGTAAGCATTAGATTTGTCCAATTACAGATCAGATGATGTGAGGTTCCATTACTTGATCTTTACTAGTTTGAGCTTTGAATATCTTTTGCAAGGCATCATGACATCTGAAAGTTGAACATATAACCAAAAGAAGTATCAACGTAACTTCTGTCCGAACTTATCCAATCATTTAGGTTTAGAAATGAGGAAAAGACCTGGTTGTAATTTGCCATACCTCCAAGGGAGATGGTCAAGGAACATGGATGGTGAAACAATAAAATCTTTGAAGCTTTCCCGGTTTGCCACGTAAGCTCTATAACATTTTCCCCTCTCCAGTGTTCTCCAAGATGTCTTAAGATCAGTTTGAGGTCTTCTCTGCTCCAGTACAATATGAATTACAAGTCCTGGCAGATACATCTCTGGGGGATCACCAGCGGCCTTATTTTCAGAGTTTGGAACAGTATCTATAAACTGAGACACAGGATCATCAATTGAATGTACACCTATAGCAAAAGGATTTGTAAATTCGGCATTATCAATTTCAACAACATGGTCCCTTGCCCTAGTGTCAGTCCAGAGTGAAAATTCTTCATGCTCATTGTTGCCTGTAATATAACAAACTGCAGTTAGATAAACAATATACATTACCCCCACTCTAACAATCGGAGTAATAAAACGATTTACAACCCTCGCTACCAAAAAGATGTGTATCTTCACCACGGTCAGCTGTAGCAAGAACATCACTTTTAATAGTCTCAGTCCAGATTGAAACTTCTTGAACCTCTTGTTCGTTGCTGCCTGCTGCAATAGGGAAATTAGAAAAAACACCTTTCGCCAACCTAATCTGGTGAATCATGAAGTTACGCAGATGATTTCCATCACTCATAATAGTAGCAACAATATGCATTATCCAACATGCCTACTATCTTATTAAAGATGAGTAACCTTTATTATCACTCACACTGGCTTCTGCAGATTTGATGGCTCAGATCTTCCTGGACAGTGACCCCTGAATAATAACCAGATTCATCCTCTGCCCCACGTTTATTTCTCTGATATTTGCTTAAAAATAGAAACTGACGTGCAAGTCTCAAAATCATGGCACTATCTGCTTTAGGATCTTGTGATAGTGATGTGATTGCAGCTGCCCTTAGCCGCATAATCGATCCAATTGAAAGGCGAGATGAAAATTCATTTCCAAATATAATGCTGCATCATAAATGAAAGCAAGCAGCAAAGGAAACTGAAAATGTTACCAAAAGAAAATCAACCACAACAATCAAACTAGTGTAATAGTTTCACTAGCGCAATTACCTTGTCACAAATTCTGAACATGCATTTGCAACAACTAAATCCAGACATGGGAGGGGCCCATATGAGTAAACATGCAGATTAGGGTAGCGGTTATATAGCTGTGAATAAGATCAGCAATCAAATCAAATGCTTAGAAGAAAACGTAGCATGTAAAGAAAGAGAAGAAAGGAAAAATATTAACCAAAAGAAATGCATGTTCAGTGATGACAAATTAAGCACTGAACTTGTATGAAATTTTTTTCATTTTCAGTGCTGAATGTATGTTCAAGGAAACTATTTACATTTAACAAAATAAATGATGCAATACAAAAGGAAACAACTACGATTTAACAACTTAAACAAGAAAATGTTGCAGCTGAATTTATTAAATGACCTTACGTATGTATGTTTTCAGAACTTCTTCACTTTCACTTTCAGTCAGTATCAAATTAACATTAAATCATTTAGAGTGCTAAGTAGAGTTTCGAAATAGCCCCTAAATCTGATGTAACTTGAGTATCACTTAAAAATATGCTAACAAAAATAGTTTTTATTTCATGAAAACATCGTTAAGTGCATGGTACTAAGGGATTCTTGAGTACAAGCAGAGAGATAATTAAGCTGTTTTATAGATAAAATCGCATATCCAATTTCCTTCATTAATTTTAGGACAAATACACATAAGTTCAAACAGGACAAATACACATAAGTTCAAACAGAAGCATTTGCTTTCTTCTACATATTCAATAGTCATTGGCATAAAAATTCTACCTGTTTTATAGGTTTCACCCTAGATCTTTGGCTTAGAAGAAACCTAATACAACTGGGACACATATAATTCTAATATTGCATGTATATTTGCATCTACAATTTGTGTTTGTTAAGGAAGCAAGGAATATATGTTTTCCAGATACAAATGTTTTCAGAACAGCCTTTCAATGAGATCCTAGTTCTTAATACAATCAAAATACCAGATTATGTTTACTGAAGATGCACAATTAGAAATTATGCAAATCCTTTCTAAGAGAAAAATGCCATACTTTCAGTCCGAGCAATGCAGCTATAGCACCTCCAAGTGAATGCCCAACTATGCGGACATTATATCCAAAGCATTCGCAACCAACTCCCAGTAATTTAGAAAGAAGTCCATAGGATTCAGAGTCTGCATTTCCATTTTGAAAAGCAACTGTTGTAAAAAATGGAGTTTATTTTATGTAAGAAATGAAAAAAAAATTAATTAAATAAAATTTCAATTTTATTTTGGGAATTGGTATATGAAAAGTACAATGTTTTACTTAATTACATAAGCATTCTATGGTCATGATTTCAATCTCACATAACCAAAGTGATAATAGAAAGCAGGATAAAGGAAAAGAAATGAACTGATAAGATTGACTCTCTAGTCCAAAGAACAATGAGTTTAAAGAGCCTGAAGCATCTCTTACCATGCTCTTCAGGATTTCCTTCAATCTGCATAAAAATCTCTCGTGCAGCCTCAACTATACCTGAATGTCCATAGTGAGGGAATGATGAAGTCACATTTTTCTTTATAACAGAATGAATGTGGTTGCAGCTGAAAACAGGAACATAAAATATTGAAGTGAGGGACCAAAATAATGTTAGAACATGGAAAAGATCTATACAGTTTGGGGGCATATAATCAATTATGCATTGGAACTGAAACTGACATATATAGAAGAGAAGATACAGGGTTTCTTATGATGCTTTCTGCAGATAGAGAGAACTCAACGGGATGTCATTTGCCATTGCATAAAAAAGGTTAAACCCCAGTACACAAGACTTTCCGACTTGAGAGAATAATAGTGAGGGTCGATTTTACGCTGCTTTACCCTTCCATTTTTTGCAAAGATGTTTCCCATATTTACAACCCGTGACCTTCCGGTCACAAGGAGCAACCTTATCACTGTTCGAAGGCTCGCTCTGTGATTCGCCATTGTGTAAGGAAGGCTTAAAAATATAGTTGATAGTCATACAGTATAACATGCGATAAATCAGATTCCTAGTTGTGTCACTGTTAGGCATGACCAATCTCTTAATAAGGAGAATAATGTTTTGAGGGTATATTCCAAAAGGAATAAACAATAGGAGGTTAGTGGGTTTATAGACCATCACAGTGGCAGCCAGGAGGTTATATAGTTAAATAGGGGAAACCGTAATGAGGAGGGATCTTTTAGAAAATAACTCAAACTGAGACGGTCTTAGTTGGGAGAAGGGGACAGCCCTTGTAAGAGGATCCTTCCTTTTGTAGTCTATGTTTCGGAATACAAACACCATCCTTTCTACCTTTCTCTCTCTCTCTCTTTCTTATTCCTTTACAATCCTAGTTATGCTTAATCTGAGAGCCTATCAGTCACCAACTGCAGAGTCATTTGAAAACCATATTTCTGATCTGACTGCAATATCAAAGAATATGCCATTGTCCTAAACTTTAGCAGGTCAAATTGAACCTTAACATTTTGAGATTTATTGATTGTTTTGTGCCTATGTATTGCTCACTCAAATTCAGAAACAGTTATTCTCAAAGTAGGCCATTGTTTAGTGCTCAAAATATTATTATCTTGGTACTACTATAAGATGCCCTCCCAACATTATCCCAGCATTCTGACAGCACAAGGTGTTGATAAAACACGCATGTTGTCATCATAAGCAGTCACAAAGAAGGCATCGACAAACTAAAACATCTTTTTGATCATTTTCAGACAAAAGGATTGAAAGACTCAAATATTTTCTTATAGCTGCACTGTCTTTGTGAATAGGCTTGTGATTTGTGACATTAGTACAAATGTAGCAACCACGTACTCCCAACATAATTTTGTAAGTTTTTCTCTCTTCCTCACTCATTCTCTACACTTCCTAATTCCTACAAAAATATGATATACAACTATCTGTTGATAATATCTATTGCAACTCCAAACGGAAATAGCTTCAATTAATAGATAAAGGAGTTCTCGTAAGGTTTTCGAATAAACCTGGCATCGATATATATACACCTTTCAACGACACAGAACAACTGATAATCAAATAAACATTTTACTATCTTAGATACCAAGAAGATCCAAATACGGTGTCTAGATAGATGTGATCCACTTATTTAATAAGGATAAAACTGACGTTAAAACAAAACTGAAAGCAATAATTATTGGACTCTATCATCCACATCCCCCCTTCTAAAGGAAAACATTGTGTGTGGCTTGGATTTAATGCATGTCGATATTCATCAGGTGCATATACATTAGTATATGCACACAAAGGTAGGGGTGAGGAAAGTCCTTCCTGGATTTAAACTTGTAACTAGGTCACAAAGGAACGGTTTCACCATTGCTCGAGACTTGCCCTCTTATTACAATGTTTACAACCACATGTCTATAAATGTTTTTAATGTTTATAGAGCTCTATATCTGTTTGTGTATGTTGAAAGGGTGAAATGGGGGAGAATGAAAAGTACTTCATCAAACCAGCCAAGTCTTCTGGAGAAAGGGTGCATTCTGTGCATAACCCATCGGTTATTAGGTCCTCAGGGGTTTCAGTTCCACGTATAGCAATTACAACAGTTTGTAGATGATGTAGAACCACAATAAAGTATGCAGCTTGACACTTGACCTGGCACAGATATCAGACAGAAAACAAGCCCTGAATATCATGCAGTCAAAAACAGAAATAGTCAAAATATCATGCACATTACCATCTTAAGTTGGATAGCTCTGAATTTCCCCACGTTTAAAATTAAAAATTACCATCATTTGGGATCAAAATATTGGGACAGATATACTGATTAGTCCAATTGAAAAATCAGGCAGCAGCCAGTCAGTTTGCATTACATAGTAAATTAGCTTCCTGAATAAACCAAAATCTACTTAAGTTCTTATAATTCTGAACAGGCCAGTTCATTTATTATGTTTATATGTATCCGATTATCATATTAGAAAGTATAAATCCACTTTTCTAGGAAACAGTGAATTCCATAAATGAGATATGACTAGCCTAATAAGCAAGCCTTCTTAAATAAAGGCTGCCGAAAAAGATCAAGTTTGTACTGAAAAGCTATTATTTATCAGATTTATATTTAAAAGCTTAAAGTGATTAGGGAAGTAATCTGATACGAATACATAATTGAGGGTGTATTCTAAGTGCAACCACAGGGGAATGGGGCTCCAAAAGGTGCTGAGGTGGCTAACTAACTATGCAGGGAAGAGAATAGAATCTTCTCAATTGGTGATTTGAAAATATTCCTTATGGGCTCAAAACCGCTGCTGCTACTAGGCTGGTGTGCAAGACTGTAAACTATTTAAGAAAAGGTCGAACAATGAAGAGGATATCTGGGAATTTAGGCTGTGACTGGACTTGGGACAGAATCAGGGCCTCTCTAATTGCACTATATCATTTTCTTTTTCGTTTTATCTCAATTTCTATCTCTGTTCTTTGAGTGTTTTCATATTTTATCTAGCTGTAACAGATCTTTTAGTAATATATACAGTTGTTCTGTTGGTTCTCTTAATTCTCTTTTATTCCCCTTGATACCTATCATAATCATTTTCCGTAAAGAATATTATTAGATATCCTCCTAAGTACAAAAATAAATAAATAAATAAAATCAGAGCACACTGACTTCAATACATAAGGCTGTCCAATCCCCTCGACTATCTATTAAGGAAACACCCTTACAAAGGACATGGGTTTGACACAAAGAAAGGCCATAATTTGCTTAATGCTATAAGGCCATCCCTTCTTTGATCTTAAAAAAGAGCCTGAAGCTAAAAGAAAGCAATCATACTATTGTTGGCTACTGGCTAGTGACATCTACCTTCAGTTTTTTGTGTGTTTTATTATTGATGATGAGCCCCCTTTAACAAAATTAAAACATAATGGCGGCAACATATTTTCAGCATTATTTTATTTATTATCACTAATATCCATGTCCCTCTTCATCTTTGTAAAATCTAGTCAGGTTTCCTATTATATTTCATTCTTTTGCATTTTGAATGGTAAGCCTCTATCTCTTATGACCAGCACATCTCATGTAGAGCACATTCAAATATTTGAATTCTCTAACCTGGTTGACTCGTCCATGTCTAAGCACTTCTGGAGGCAAATTGACATACTTTAGAAATGCCGCAGCATGACCTCGCCACCAGTTATCACCATCCAATACAGGTCGTCTAAGAAGATGAAATGGGAACATAAAAATTCAGTGTTTAAAATGATATTCTTTGAATTTATGCACATTGAAAAAGATTGCAAAAGAGACATAGGGTAAAAAAGAGATGAAGAGACAGATAGAACGTAGAAAATCCAAAGATATGCTAATGCCAGTATGCTTGAGTGCCAGAGTACATATGACCTGAAGAAAAATATGGGCACAACTATTCAGATGACATCTACAAATTTAAAATTTATGAGCTTGCTTACAAGAATTTGAAAATATATACATAATGTGACATTCTGTATTTGATCTACTAGACCACCACAATATAATAACTTTATTTCTTTTGATGAAAGAAATACCAGCAAAGAGAGAAGAAAAAAACTATAAAGATGGGGGAGAGTAAACACATTGAATGAAAAGAAAGAGAGAAGGACCAATCAAACTAGAGAAACACACCAATACAGTAGAGCCCTCCAACTATATATCTCTGATAAGTAATATACATTTTGGAGTTTATAGACCATTTCTAGGTTATGAAGAACAAGTACCAAAACCACCTTGACTGTAAAGATGTAATTACACAACCAATAACTCGTAAATTAAAAAAGTCCAAGTTAATAAGAATTCAGCTATATTCACCACAGAATTGAAAATCCAGCAAAAAACCACCTATTGCGTGTCCAAGGAGATAAAATTCCTTGTCTATAGAGCCATGCACAAGGAAATATGAAAGGATTTCGTCCGACATCAAGCAATGGACCCTGCATCATTGAACACAAGATAAATGTTCAAAGCAAGTTAGTAAAAAAACCAAAACATTAATTTGAAATAAGTTTTTAGCAATACTGTGTATGCAGCTTCAGCAAATTTATGAAGAGCTGCAGCCTCCCTAATTTGCATCTCTGGTGCTTCAGTGGATTCTTCATAGGATTCTGAAGATTTTGCATGGTTTTGAAGTAAAGCTAAACCTGAACATCAAAAAACTTGAATGTCATACACTACAAAGAGGTAACATGAAGCTTAAGTTAGATTGTTTCAGGCTATATTCCTAATGAAAAGTCGGTGAGGTCAACGTTATGAAAGTAATATGCTATGTCATCCATCTGAAAGATGACCCATTAACACAAATACTCCTATTTGGATAACAGTATAAATCCTGTAATAGCTACATCCTTCAAACTCGACCCCTTCAACCACAAGTGCTCCTGATCCTGACAAGTGAAGAACAGCAGCACATAATGGAAGGCAACTGATATATTAGCATTTAGTAAATAAGGTAATTTATTGTGTTCATTAAGTACATTGATGAAAAGAAAAAAGGAAAGGAAAATTCAATAAACCACTAAACAAGTGAATGGCCTCCCCTATTCCTCTTGTTTGAAACCCAAAAACTTTAATAAGGCTCGGTTGTTGGTTGCTGTTGTATATTCTGTTACAATTTGCTGCTTCGTTTAAAAGAGGATATTATAGCCACCTTATTTGACATAGCTACCCAAAAATCCCGCATTGAGTGCAAGAATCATCGGCTCACTTGCTCATATTCTTCACGAATATTTAGAGTGCAGAGGATAGTTTGAACTTTGAACTATAAAAATCCCTTCAGGATGATGTTGCGTGACATAAAAAAAAGGCCAAAATGCTACAGAGCACAATTTGAACAAAACCTGCCAAGAGTTCCATATGTCCAGTTCCCGAAGCACGATAAGCAACAAGATCACCCAATAATCTTGCAACTGAATAGACTTCATCTTCTTCCAATGCACTCCTACGGAGGGGATCAAAGGACCAGAGGTCAGAGTTAAAAAATAGTGAGAAGTTCTGCAAGCAAATAAAACCACAGGTGCATACAAGTATTTAACCCGGCCAAGACAACACAAGGTCTCGCGTATGCCATTATCGAACATCTCTCTATAATGGCTTTTCCAAGCATTATCATGGGTTTGATAGAAAGATCTCCAATTAAGAACATCGGATCCTGCAAAGCACTGCACTATAGCAACGAAACACACTATGATGACGAATAATGATAGTAGCTTGTGCTTGCCCCAGTCAGAGTTCCATTTCGATTCTGCATTACAATAAATGCAGGGCCGTAAGATTCCAAGAGAAGTAAACAATCCTGAACTTAATAACCAAAGGAGCATATATGAGATTGGAAATGTTAAAACTTAAAACTATTGGTGGTGATAGATAATAAGCAATGTGTAATCTACAAAGGAGGAGGAGAAGGAGAAGGTGGAGAAGTCGAACTCACCTACCTAAAGCACAATGAGAAGATGTCGTAGCTGTGGAGGAAGAGTCAGCAGAATTGAACAAAAGGTAAGTTGCACATAAAAATTGGAGCACTACAACCACAACGGTACATCGACTCCACCGAAGCCATTTCTTATACCTTACCTAATAATGCAATGAGATGTCAAAAGCACAAGAATGAATGTCATTGATTTCAATGAGAATTGGAAATGTTGAATAAATAAATAAATAAATAAATAAATACCCGTCTGTGGAGGCGAGAAAGAGGGTCGTCGGAGGTGTCGTCAAGAATGAGGAGGGCGGCTTGTTTTTGGGCAATTCCGGTTAGAAGCATGACTAGAATCCTAAGAAAGGCGGAGAGAGAAACGGCGAGAAAAGGAAGGAAGAGGAAGAAGCGGGAAGGACAGAGAGGGTAAGATTGGAAAATGAGAAAGGAACCGATGAGGAGTACCAACAAGTTGGAAACTCCCAAAACGATAGTGACTGATCTGAGGTTTGAGAGGCCCATCGCACGCGCCAAGACAATGGATTCATCACCTTCTCCTTCACCTTCTGCTCGCTGGGCCCCTCTCCTCTCCTCTCCTCTCCTCTACTCGGGACAACGTAGGATTCTGCTCTTACCAATTATAGCTTAGCTTCCCACGCCATCTCTCTTTCTTTTTTCTTTTTTATTTTTTTCTTCCCAAAATCGGAGTGTTGCTATTCCCAATGAAATAAAATCCTCTAAACCACACTACACAACTTTCTCGCTTTTTTGCTCAACTAACGTCCAGATAACGTAATAAACGTTATACTCTAATTAAAATATATTTCCTTCTTGACTTCATGTTCTATACAATGAAATATAAAATAAAACTTACCTATTATATTTTTCAACATATTTACCAAAAATCAGACAACTCATATAGTTAATAAATTAGAACCGATAGCTTTATTTGCACCACTCTCTGATTGCTCTATGAAAAAATTCATAAATATATCAAATATTTATTTTAAGTGCACATTTATAAACTCAACAATGTTATTTATTTGCAAGTTATTATGAATCTCATAATTAATTGCAGTTATGATGTCAAAGAGTAAAACATAATACTTTTTTTTTTCTATTTACGAGTCATTTCTTAGTGAAAATGTATTCATATTATTTGATGTTTTTGTTGTAAACTTTAACCACAATTATAAACAATTAAGAGTTCGAATACCTACATAATATGAATATCATGTTGGATATATTAATAATATAATCTAATAATATGTTTATATACAAGTTCAGTAGGTGAAAGTATGAATATTTGGATCCACATGAGCTGGAGTCCAATAACTTGCATTATCTATAATGTTTTCTAACCTAGAGGTAATATTATTGAGTATTCCGAACTTGATGTCTCTTGATGTAATATTTCAAACATTTCTAAATTTTTCTCTCTCAAACTCATTACCTCCAACATGGGAGAAGTAGTGGTACTTAAGAGAAATATTCATTTTTTTTTTGCTCGCATTTAATAACTTTTAAATAAAATTACAAAAATATGTTAATGAATAGAATTTAACGTTGAATATCATAAAGTTGTTTGGTAGTTCAATATAATTTTATAAAATCACACAAAAAAGGTTACAATATTGTCTCAATTAAGCCTTAATAAAGAGCTTTATTTTGGTAGACCCCATACACATGGAACATTCCAAAAGTAGAAAAGAACAAAAGAGTTAGAGGAAATTTTCAAAAAAGTGAGGGACAAAAAGAGAAGTCCATTTTTTCAAAAATAAAAAAAAGGACCACTCTAAAAAAATAGGCCGCATCACTTTAAAAGTTTCCCTTAATAACATACTTCCACTTGATTATATTTTTTTATAGGAAATAACACCTTACCTTTTGTGAGAGAGACTTTTTTGCGTTAAGTTGTGTTTTATATATCTTGGAAAGTGTTTGTTTTTTTAAGTTACTTTAAATAACTTTATTTAATATTCATTGAAATCATGTCGTTTTGGGCAGAAATTATTGTATTTTTGTAATTTTAATTTATTTCAGAGTTATAATAGTCTTTTTCATTCTAATTTTTTAATTTTTTTCACCTAAAAAATGTGTTGTTTTGATGAACATTAGATAAATTCATCTAAAAAAATATTAGATACTTTTTTCCCATCTTAGAAAATACATAATTATAATATTAGAAAAAATATTTGCCTAAGGAGAGAGAATGTAAAAAATTTCCAATATGCACTAAAACGACGTTGTTTCATCTAAAATGATACAAAATTATATTCTTTAAAAGGACAAATATTTTTTCCTATAATATTATTTTTTTTTTTCAAAATCTGTCCGTTGACATAAAAAATAAAAAAATTATTACTTTAATATTATAATTGCGTAAGACAAAACGTTAATCCGTTGTGAAAATGTGAAATTTTTAATATATTAAAATATTAGTTTAATGCAGGACTGCTCATCATTTCTTTCCTGCATTTTATTTTTTTCATGCTAACATGACAGTGGTGAGACTTTCAGTGAATTCATTAATGAATACGTATTATTAGTGGATGGGGATGGGGATATGGTGGAGTTTCTGAATTCTGTAAGGTCCCATGTGGCACTTGGAAATGGAATGGATTGGACCCTCAATTCCAAATTTCAGGTTTTGGTATGGCTTCCAAAATAAAAATTGTAAGTTGGAACTTGGAATAAACATATCCAAGGTATTGAGATATAACTAAATAAAGATCTTGTCAATTCTTAATCCAGATCCTAAGAATTGTAACTCAAATAAGCAATAATTAATACGATGCAGTCTCTAACATAACAGCAACAACGATCTCTGTTTGATACTCGAACAACCATGTATGCTGTCTTGACCATTGCCATCCCAACCATCGTTGCCACTCTACCAATGTTGTAATGAGTATCACCGCAGCCATTACCATTAGCAATTTAGCACCATTGCCATCATTAGTGTTGAGCCCTAGATCATGACATTAGTTTTTGGGAGTAAAACTGCATTTGGTCCAAATGAATATTATTATTATTATTATGAGAAAAGTTAAATTTATTACTTTTTTGTTATTACCTCATACTACCAAAATTTGATTCTTATTTTTCAGTATTCTAATGGTTATAATTTGTTGGGTCATATTTATTAATTAATTTTTAATTTTTAATAAATTATAACTATTGAATTGACGGAAATTAACAATTAAAATTTGATACTAAGAAAAAAAAGTAGTAAGTATAATTTCTCCATATTATTATTATTATTATTATTATTATTATTATTAATATGGAAAAAATATTTCTCATGTTGCATGAGAAATATTTTCTTATGTTGTGACCATTCGATTTGCGTGTAATGCTTTTTATCTTTTTTATTTTTTAATAAATGTGGAACCCACCACTAGTTGAATCAAGAAAATAATTCTCATGCAACACGAGAAAATCAAACCATAAATATATTTAACATGGAGGTATTTCACACAACCTACTCCAGCAACTTTGTTCTAAGAATTCGGGGCTTTTTGACCACTATAGCCTTTTTTTAATAGTTAATTACCAAATCGACCCTATTTATAAACCATTTCAAAAATATAACCTCTCCAGAAAACATAACATCAATCTGTCCATGTTTGACCGTTGACCATGAAACCTACCCGGGTACACCCCTACCTACCCGGGTATATTTTGAAATTTTTTACCTACCCGGGTATATTTCTTGAATCTGGAAAAATGTTTGAATTATTTACCCGGGTAGAGAGGGGTATAACCGGGTAAATAATCATAACGTGTTGAGTGGTGTGAGGGTGTGTCATCTTACAAGGCACTTTGTCGTTTCCTTCTCTGTGTTCAACCATTGCTTGGAATATGGGTTTATCATAATCCTGAGCTTGGTAACTGTTAAGAGGTAAGAACCCTAACAAAGAAGCAAGAGAAGAATTGAAAGAATTCACAAAGTGTATATTATTCAGAATGAAGTCTTCTCTATTTACAATTGCCCTTTAAACACTTGACAACTAACTAACCTTATGCATTCCACCAATTGGACACATGGCTACAATTCCTAACTAACTGCCACCTCATCTAACAGCTTATGACAGCTTAATGACTATTATACCCTTCCTACAATACTGACATGCAGTACCTCAGTTCATAAAAATGCAATTAAACATCCACTATAAAGTCCTTAGCCCATGTAGGAGCTCCTCTCTTTCTTTTGCTCGTAACATTACCCTCCTCTTCCAAATCAACCTTGTCCTCAAGGTTCAAATTAGGATAATGAAGCTTGAGGTCTTCTTCATCCTCCCAAGAAGAATCTTCAGGCAAAGAATGAGACCATTGAATCAGCCATTGAGTTCGTAATTTGTTTCTGCCAGAAACTTTGCAAGACATCAAAGCAGCCACTGGTTCCTGGATAGGATAATTCCCTTGACCAAATTCAGGTACAGTAGGAATAAGATCAGGATGATTACCCCTAAAAGGTTTCAACACCGAAACATGAAAGGAAGAATGTATCTTGCATCCTGCTGGAAGTTGCAATTGATAAGCAACCGGACTCAACACCCTGATGATGGGAAATGGACCAAAATAACGTTTGGCCAACTTCTGATTTGGCCTTCGAGTTGCTGTCATCTGTCTGTAAGGCTGTAGTTTAACCAAGACCAGATCACCTACTGCCAAGGATATATCATTCCTATGTTTATCTGCATGAATTTTCATTCTATTATGTGCTCCCTGCAAGTGATTTTTAAGTTGAGCCAGTAAGGTATTTCTGTGAACTAAGGCTGTATCCACTGCCTCCACCTTGACTAGCCCTTTAGAGTAATAAGGAATTACTTGTGTCAGCTTGCCATAGAGTGCCTGGAAAGGACTCATACCAATAGAAGCATGATGTGCTGGGTTGTAATGTAATTCTGCCCAACTCAAGCACAATGACCATTTATGGTTTTCATCCGAACAAAACGCTCGAAGATACTGTTCTAAGTATCTATTAGTCACTTCAGATTGCCCATCCGATTGGGGGTGATAAGATGTGCTAGTATGCAGCTTGGTCCCACTAAATTTGAACAGCAAGGTCCAAAATTGACTTAAGAAGACACTATCCCTATCAGATACAATAGTCTTTGGATAACCATGCAATTTTACAACCATATCACAAAAGAGAGATGCTACCTTAGCTGCTGTATACGGACTAGCCAATGCACCAAAATGTGCATATTTAGAAAGACGATCCACCACCACAAAGATGATTGTGAAGTTTCGAGAAGAGGGTAAGCCAGTGATGAAATCCATGCTGATGTCTTCAAACACCCCATTTGGAATTGGCAACGGCTGGAGCAACCCAAAAGGAGGTGTTGTTGCTTTTTTCACCATTTGGCATATGGAGCAATTCTTGATCAATTCAGTTACCTCCTTCCTCATATGCGGCCAATGGAATGAAGCAGATAGTCGCAGCAAGGTGCGAGTCACACCCGCATGTCCCCCAATGGGAGTAGCATGTGCCTCATTCAGCAGAATTTGCTTCAATTCAGATGTGGAACTTAACAGCAAACGATTTTTGTAATACAGCACTTCATCCCTTGCTGTAATATGAGGATCAACAGAGATACCCTTGCTCAACTTAGAATGTAAAGACAACAATTCAGGATCAGAAGTATTCTCCCCCTT